TGGTTTCTCAGAACCATTATTGAAGTTATATATTTGAATCATATTTAATTAATCGTGAATTTAGAGTTAGGTATCGCAATTTCAGATCTGCTGCATTTGTTCCTACATCTGGTGTACCCCAGGACTAAACCTTGGGCCGTTACTATTTCTTCTATTTATTAGAGACCTTGCTGAAGTTATGTCATGCAATAAATTGATCTGCGCCGATGATTTTAAGCTTTATTCATATATCGATTCCTTAAGTGACTATGTCTTGCTGCAGCTTTGCCTTGAACGCGTTATTCGATGGTGTCTAGAAAATCGTCTCCAACAGAACATTAGTATGTAGAATGTAAAAGTGTATCTTTCTCACGGAAACTTATGGTTATTAAATACAATTACAATATAAATAGTACCATCATTGAGATGTCAGACTATTAAGGATTTGGGAATAATTGTCAACTACAAATTCACCATTGTTGATCACATCAATGCAACTGTAGCAAGTGTCTACAAAACCTATGGCTTTATCTATAGAAACTGTAGAGACTTTTGAAGTGTCGCATTGTCAGTACTCTTATTAGATTAGTTGATCGAAATTAGAGGGGTGGGTTAATATGGTATCCAGTTTTTGATGTACATTGTCATAATTTAGAAACAATGCAAAGAAAGTTTCTTAAATGCTTAGCATACATGGAAGATGATGTTTATCCACCTAGAGGCCAGGCCATGACCATTCTTTGTTATTCTCTCGCTTTAATTTCGTGTAATTAAGAGTTCGTCGCAATATTACAGCAATACAATTTTTGTATAATATATTTCTTAACAAAATAGATTGTATCGATCTCACTAACAAATTAAATATATTACTACCTAGATGTAACTTACTCTCCTCATCAGGCTTTATTTTATACACACGAGAGATGAACTAATGTGTCAGTTAGATCGCCGGTTTCTCTCATAAGTAGAGAGCGGAAAATATGCAGCAAAATTTTGGGAAATATGATCATATGATATGCACCAAATTTATGCAAATATGCAGTAACTTTCTTAATATATGCAGAGATATGCAGTTGCATATGCTCCAAAAATTAAAAAAAAGCTTAATAAGCGAAATAAATTTATTTACAAATTACAAAAACAGGTTTCCCGAGCTTAAGTTTTATTGCAATAAATACATAAATCACATTGCAAAATGTTTAATTACATCACACTAACACATAAATCACATTTATAATGATAATATTCTTATACTAAAAAATAAATATAAACAGAACAAATTAAAAAATAGCAGTAATCGACTATTTAATTACTATTTTGGTAACAATTTATTTTTAAATATTTTTCGAAATATTCTAACAAAAAGTTTTTCCGGTGATTCTAAAGTATGCATTTGTAAATAGAAAAACTGCGTACTATATCCATAGATGTAAAAATACTTCCCGGTTTAGAGCAGGCGGTATAAAACACAGTTCCTTCTTGAAAAATAAGTTCAGGAAAAGGTTTAATCCATAAATTATTTTAAGTTATCTTCGACGTATTAACACACACACCTGTATCACTTTAAATGCTTTTAATGCCAACTCACGATGAAAAATAATAGGATAACGTCCCTTCGACCACCACAAAACATGCCATTAACACATTGAAGTAACGAACAAAAATATTGAGACTGAACGTATCTCCAAAAGTAATTAGGGCGGAATTTACCTGGAAGGATGGTTTAACACTCAGTGTTATGTCCAAACTACCATAAAACCCAAACCTTTCCTAGATATTTGAAGCTCAGGACAATATTTGCAATATGATTCATGAAATTTCGTCTTTTTAGATAAATGCCGATAGAATAACAATCTTTTTCTTTCAAATTAGCATAAAAATGCAAAATATGCACCCGTTACGTGAAATATGCAGCAAAAGGCAAATATATGCAAATATGCATTTTTTTTTATAGTTGTATTCATTTTTAATTCGCATGATTCGTTCATATATTAAATATTAAGATTTATATGCAAAAAATAACGGATATGCATAAAATCCGCTCTTTACTCATAAGTAACTTATTTAACAAAATTTCTCATCTGTGTGACCTTAAGATCGAGAAGATTCCACGCATTTCGGATTATAACTATTATTAACTTAGGATAACTTTAATTTTAATTTGATTTTTTCTCTAACGCTCCTAGCATAGGTATGTTTATTAATTTTGTATTTCATCTTAATTGCTGTTGTCGTTTAGATTTAGTTAGATATTATTCCTGTAATTGGGTGATTCCTGCTTTCATAAATTATTATTTTTAAAATGATTATTATTGTTAACATTCTGAAGAGAAAACCTAAAAGATTTAAAAAGCAAAAGCTGGTATAGGCAACCAAAAAAACAAGAAAATCGAGAAATAACCGAATAAAAGAATTTTAATTTGACAATAACCGTTTGACATAGTGTATGATTGCATAACCTTGAACCTTGAAGGCATTAACTGCGACCTGTGACCCACGGTGCCTGTGACACTACTCTTGATACGCATGCGCAGACGTTCATTTGGATTATTCTGTGTGGAATATTCTATTATTCTCCAAGTTGCGGCTTAGGCCCACGGGACTTGTAATGTGGTTTCTGACAAAGTATAATTTGTAACTGATTTAGAATACCATGTGGTTGTGGGTCGACAGCGATTGTGAACTTTGTTATTTGTATATTCTCGAGTGAATGTGAAAGCTAGTGTTTTTTTAGCAATTGTGCTATGGCAGCGCGTGTGTTATGTACAACCTGGAATTTCGTCAAGGGTCACCAGTAGTCTGGACTTACACTTTCATCATTTAGGTAAGTTATTACATAGCGAGTCACGTGTTTGGTAATATTTTCCTATTTTATGTTGCATCCGAGGTTGTAATAAACCAATTTCAAAACAAAATTGGGGTTATGAAAAATGTAAAGCCCCTACAAACTACAAACACCGCCTCTATACAGTGTGCTGTATCTGCTCAAGGTTGATCAAGCTTGTTTAAATAAGTATCACCAATTTCTGCCTAGCTGCCAGAAGCAGATTTGTTGATATGATTTATGAATTCGATAAAGCACAAAAATCGTTTGTCAAAGCGCTTCTGTTTCGTGACTAAAGGGGCGGCAGAGCTTAGCAACATATAATAAATAATAATATTACTGGTACATTTGGGTACACGTATCAACACTTAGTATTATACATAAGTCTTGTGTTTCAGATAATTTGATTAACATGGACCAGACTGTGTTAACAGTTATAATCAGTGTTCCTAGATTTTAAAAGTCTAAGCGCAAACCAGTAACGGAACCACAAAAGAATAAATGTGATATGAACGAATTTTAACTGGTGTAGTAAAAGGATATATTCGAAGGAATTAAATTTCTTTTTAAATGGCAATTGATCGAATTCTTATACAAAATATTTTTAATAACATTTTATCAAAAAAAAGTACAATTTACAGGTTAGGTACTCTGAACATGCAACAAATAAGTGTACACTTTCAAATAGGGTAAACTACCTAGTTATTGGCACCAATAAGGGCTTTTTTAACTTTGGTTCCACTCTAAAAAATAAGCCAATGATTTAATGTTTTGCGATTATGCATTGCCGGGTACCTTGTTGTCCAAGCCACATCGTGAATTTTTGGGTTTTTGTGTACCTAATACAAATAGTAAAAGTTTTATTAAATATTTTTGATGATAATGTCCTAAAATCTAGTCATTGGCATATATGGACCTGTTATTGGCATCCTAGTTATTGCAGGCAGTCTGAGATAATAGTTGTATTGTAGCAGTTACTAACTTTAGTACCTACCTACCTATTTTTTAATTTTCGAAGTCTTTTATATGTTCAGTTTGGACTATAAATAGCTATCTTGTCTTACATTTATATTAAATTTATTTCAGTTGTGTCAAACATTAACAATTGTATGAAATTACACATATTATTTACGTAACTTAGAGCAAGTTTTACATTTAAAATCATTAGCAGTAGCAGCAGTGTCATAGAGGTTTTGTTTTTTTAAGCACTTAACATGAAATTGTCTTAAATTACAAATCGTGCATTTGAATGCCACATTTTTGACAGTAGCCGACATTGTACATGAGTAACACAGTCCTTTTGTACTCACACACTTGGAGGTATTTTCGGAAAGTGGTTCAATTTTTGTGTCATTTATCAGATCAGCTTCTTCAATCTCTTCTTCAACGAAAAGTTTCCTTACATGATTATTCTCGTTTTTATTCCTGCTACCGGTTGCAATGACTGTATCACAAAATTATGTTCACTTTAATTTTTTGTTTATTCTTATTTGCCTTTTTCTGAATCGGCTGTTTCAGTTTTTCCCCTTTTTTGGCAAGTCTTTCTGTTTTTCTTCTTTCTTTTTCGACTGCGACTTGCTTTTTTTCGGTGTCTAATATTGCCTTCCACCCACTTGAGGTAATAACATATGGTAATTTAGTCTTAGTCTTCCTTTCATTTTTTCTCTGAGGTGTTTCCGGCCATGTCAAAAAGCTTTCAAAACTTTTATTGCTTAAATTATCGTTATTAGTCTCAGTCGCAATTTGATTATTACAATTATTTATTTCAGAGGTTCTATTCTCTTCCGAATTAATTATATCAATAACTATGTTATTCTCACACAGTTCATCATTTTCGTATATTATTGGGATGTCATCTATGTTGAATGTGACGGCTTCATTAGGATCTCGCAAATCAGTAATGCTTTGGATATAGTTTAATGACTCCGAATACGTATCTTGTGGATCTTGAAAAACAATGCTACTCTCTTTCTTGTTATTATTAGAATAATTTTTTAAAAGCAGTGCCTGTTCTATTTATGTATTCTATGGAGTTTGAGAATCCAAATAATTTTCTTCATTAGTACTAGTAGACAAACACTTTGAAGAGACAAAGTGTTTCTTGTTAAAAAACTCGTAAATGTCATATAAAGCTTTTTTCTCTTCAGTCATGTTTCTTAAAACTTCTCCAACAATTTTAGAAAACATGTCATAGTTAATGGTTAAACTGCAACTGTCGACGACTTCAATGTGTAACCAGCCTAACAAGGCTGGGGCGTGAGTTAAAAAAAAATAATAATATTTTGAAAAATTAAAGATGGCAGGTTGTATGGAAATCCACTAGAGAATTCGCAGGCGATACAAGATGATCTTCAAGTCATACATAAATGGACTTGTGACTGGTTAATGCCGTTAAACAACAGCAAATGTTTTGTCCTCCAGTTGGGGAAAAATAATCCAAATACAAATTATATAATTGAAAACCATTCCTTGAAGACGGTTCATGAAATAAACGACCTGGGTGTCTTAATTGACAAAGAACTCGTATTTTCTGAACATGTTGCACGCGTTGTGAAAAGAGCTAATATTAAAACTTATCTATTCTAGAAAATTTTTACTAACCCAAACGGGGACCTAATGAAAAAACTCTTTGTTTCGTATGTTCGGCCCATTATGGAATATGCCAGTGTGATATGGTCACCATATTTTATTAAGGATAAACAGTTATTAGAAAAAGTTCAGAGACGCTACACCAAAACTGTGGAAAACTTAAAATCGTACGAAAACAGATTAACAGAATTAAAGCTACCATCCTTAGAAAAACGTCGTATAGTAAATGATCTTGTTTGCACCTATAACAAACTGTCAAATAGGTTCAGTAATTTAAAGAATATATTTGTTATGGCTCACACCTCGACTGCGTGGACATACATCGAAACTGTTTCATGAGGAATATAAAACAAGATGGCGTCAAAACTTTTTAACCAACAGGGTGTTCCATTTATGGAATAATTTAGATGAACAAAGTGATAACTCGATAACTGTTAATTCATTTAACAAAGGTTTAAATATTCATCTGATTGATGTGTTATAGAATATTGCGTTATCTACCATCCACCCGAACACTTCTTAACGAAGGAATAGTAGTAACTGAAAAAGCTGCTATAATGTGTTCCCTCTGACGAGCATAATAGGTTACCTTTGCTCGGTAAAGATAATAATAATAAAACTCTCAGGGTCGTTACTTTGCAAGAAAGTTGGCGAAGTCCATTTCTCTATATTTCACCGTATTTCCAGCACTTGCCTTCAGCAAATTGTGATTTAGGATTTTAATTATTTCTAAAGTGTTGGTATATGACACCTGAGTTGGGGATTCAACTGTTTTCCGTCGTTGCCTGGTTGGCGCTGAGGTTGTTGGAGCTGAAACCGTAGGTACCACACTTTCCAAATAGTTTTCCACACTTTGGCTGGCCCTATTGATGCTTTCGATTTTATAGTCCAACGCGAAACTTGCGTTTTGGCTCCCATTATTTAATTCTTCACTCATTTCAGTGAAGTCTTCGTCCACCACCAAATACAATGTATTTACCTAAAAACAAATGCAGTTTATATAGAGATTTAATTTATTATACCTTTTCAACTAACCTCAATTTCCAAGGTGCTTTTCCTCTTTCGAGGTTTCACAAACGGAATTAAAAATTCCGCGAAATGGAACCACCATACTGTCTCAATTATTATTATTATTATAAGCTACAATGTCCAACGGGCAAGAAACCCATTTACAGGACAAGGTTGAACATGAAATTATTTTGCTCTAAGTGGGATGTTCAAATCGTCTTTTAATGTCAACTATTGTGCAGTTGAATATGTCCAACTGATTTTCGATGTTGGTGTAGTTCTGCAGCATTTGAAAAAGTGGTGAAGCAAGTCCAATATCAGTCCGTGAAGCAGGTAGATAAAATGTGTTATTAATACGCGCGTTAGGTCTATTAATCTTAAACCTGATGTTAAACAGAATTACCGGACACTCTTGTAGCCCATGGATTACTTTAAATAAAAAGATTATAGAGTTAACAATACGTCTTGATGCTAATGAGGATAAATTAAACCGATCAAGAAGCATTTCTTGAGGATATCCTCTTGTAGGATAAGTACCATTCAGCATGAAAGCTGCAGATTTCAGAAACCTTCGTTGAATACGCTCCAACATAGATATATAAACATTGTATAAGGGAGCCCAAACAAGAGAATTATATTCAAGATGAGACCTGACACATGCAATATACAAACTTTTTAATGTCTCTACATCATCAAACTCACGACCATTACCATTTTTGATTGCAGGTGCTGAAACCAACAAAAAAGTTAGTGCTATGAATTTCTATTCATACAGACTCATGATCCGTCAAGGTGAAGTAAATCATATTTTGATGTATCAAAGACTTTTTCATCAGTTTGCAGTCGACATGTATGTCAAAATTGAGACTGAACGATTGACATACATCCGTTTGAACCAACGACAGCTACGATCAGAGGAATACATTCATCTCCGTGATTCTATAAATGCGGATGGCAATGTGAATAATGTGGGAAGAATGATAATTTTGCCAGCCACTTATATAGGAAGCCCACGCCACATGCATGAATATGCTTAGGATGCTATGTCATATGTTAGGCATTATGGCCGCCCAGACTTATTTGTTACATTCACATGTAACCCTAAATGGTCCGAAATCAAGAGGGAATTGCTATATAGCCAAACACCAGTTGATAGACATGACATAACTGCCAGAGTTTTTAAACAAAAATTAAAATCTCTCATGAATTTCTTAATAAAGCATTGTGTGTATGGCCGAGTCCGTTGTTGGATGTATTCTGTAGAATGGCAAAAGCGTGGATTGCCACATGCGCACATATTAATCTGGTTAGTGGACAAAATAAGGCCAAATGAGATTGATTCCATAATTTCAGCTGAAATCCCACATGAAACAGTTGACCCAAAATTGCATGCAGTATTTACCAAACACATGATACATGGACCTTGCGGACTTTTCAACTACAATTCACCATGTATGGTCGACGGCAAGTGTTCCAAGCGATACCCAAGAGACCTGCTTGCTGAAACCATAACGGGAAATGATGGATACCCATTGTATCGTCGGCGATCAGTTGCGGATAATGGGCGATCGGTAGTTGTGAAGGTAAGAGGACAAAATGTTGATGTGGACAATCGTTGGATTGTGCCATACTCGCCAATATTGTCCAAAGCTTTTGAGAGTCACATCAATGTAGAATATTGTAACTCTGTGAAGTCGGTAAAGTACATATGTAAATATGTTAACAAAGGTAGCGATATGGCTGTCTTCCCTGTAACCAATGCAAATGATGAAATATCACAGTACCAGATGGGTCGCTATGTAAGTAGCAACGAAGCAATTTGGCGTATCTTTTCATTTGCGATCCATGGAAAGACACCCTACAGTAGTCCATTTGGCAGTCCATTTAGAAAATGGTCAACAAGTTTATTTTAATGAATCGAACGCGGCAGACAGAGCGGCACGTCCACCGTCGACAACATTAACAAGTTTCTTCACAGTCTGTCAAACTGATGATTTTGTTCGCACTTTGTTGTATGCTGACATGCCACGCTATTACACCTGGAATGCATCATCGAAATCGTTTCAGCGTCGAAAACAAGGAATGCCAGTTGAAGGACATCCAAATGTATTTTCTTCAGACGCTCTGGGTCGCATCTACACAGTACATCCAAATAACGATGAATGTTATTATTTGCGGTTGTTGTTGGTGAATGTTCGTGGTCCGATATCGTTTAAACAACTGAGAACAGTTAATGGACAGCTGTGTGCGACTTACCGTGAGGCATGTCAACTATTGCATTTACTTGAGAACGATTCGCACTGGGATGATACGCTCAAGGATTCCGTAATATCTTCATCGCCGCATCAAATTCGTACATTGTTTGCGATTATCATATCGACATGTTTCCCCTCGAATCCAAAAGATTTGTGGGTTAAGTATAGAGATGACATGTCTGAGGGTGTTTTGCATCGTGTGCGCCGTCAAACTTTGAATCCTACACTACAAATGACTACAGAAATTTACAATGAGACATTGATCATGATAGAAAATATGTGTTTATTGATGGCAAATAAAGTATTGTCGTGTTTGGGAATGACAGCACCAAATCGTCATATGCACGATGCATTAAACCACGAGTTGCAAAGAGAACAACAGTACGACATTGAAGCATTGGCCGAAACAGTTCGTACAAATGTTCCACAATTAAATCAACAACAAAAAATTGCGTACAACACTTTGATAGAAGCTGTGAACAGTGGATCTGGTGGAATTTATTTCCTTGATGCTCCCGGAGGAACCGGAAAAACGTTCTTAATTTCATTGCTTTTGGCGAGGATCAGATAGCGAAATGATGTTGCTCTAGCGTTGGCTTCATCTGGAATAGCTGCGACTCTGCTAGAAGGCGGGCGAACTGCACATTCTGCCTTGAAATTACCATTAAACATGCAAATCACCGAAACACCAATTTGCAACATCGCCAAAAATAGCGCAATGGCCAAGATCCTACAGGTATGCAAATTGATTGTTTGGGATGAATGCACAATGGCCCATAAGAGGTCACTGGAGGCACTGGACAGAACGTTGAAAGATCTTCGTGACAACCAAAATATTTTTGGTGGGGCCATGATTCTGTTGTCAGGTGACTTTCGTCAGACTCTTCCAGTTATTCCCCGATCAACTGTTGCTGATGAACTAAATGCATGCCTAAAATCATCGAATTTTTTTTTAATCAATATAAAAATTATAATGTGTTTAATGATCCTGATGACAATTTCGAAGGCGGGCTCAATGGGGGTGATGGAGTAGCCGATGAGGCTGGGGACGTGGGAGGAGGCTCAATCCCATCTGTGTTATCAACACATCTTCTAAACTGTTCTTTGATGTTAACAGCATTCGTTTGGGTCCACAGTGAACGCAAAATTGGGAGGTGGCTGTATTCTCTATTATTATATGTTCTTTATAGTAAAATCCATCATAAATGGGATGTGTGGAATTGATGCAAATGGCGGTTTTTAACAGTCCGATCCACGCTTCTGCCTGTGCCTGTTTACCACCTTCGATTTTGATGACCATATCTTTTAACACACTCATGTTACTTGATCGTCTTAATCAGACCATCTTGCTTTTTTATTTGGTCCCAAAAAACTCTTGCAGCGATAGCACTGGCGATAGTAATGTAAAACATTTGTGGCGGTATGTAAAGACACTCCAATTAACAACTAACATGCGAATATTTTTGCAACAAGATGAAACTGCGAATGTGTTTGCGAAGCAGTTGTTAGACATTGGAAATAATAAAGTTGCAGTGGACACCTCGACCGGATTCATCACGTTACCCACAGATCTCTGTCACATCACAGACTCAAAAGAGGAGCTTATTCAGCGTGTTTTCCCAGATATAGCGCAAAAGTTCAATAACCATAATTGGCTGGGTGAACGAGCAATATTAGCGGCGAAAAATAAAGATGTCAATGCGACCATTCAGAATTTTCTTCCAGGACAGTTGGTTTCCTTCAAATCAGTCGACACCGTTATGAACCAGGATGACGTAGTCAACTATCCCACGGAGTTTTTAAATTCATTGGAATTGTCTGGATTACCACCTCACAATTTGCAGTTAAAAATAGGGTCAGTTGTCATCATGCTGCGTAACATTAATCAACCACGACTGTGCAATGGAACAAGACTGGTTGTGAAAAAGCTGATGAATAACGTCATTGAGGCAACAATCATAAAAGGAAAATACAAAGGAGAGGATGTCTTGATCCCGCGGATACCGATGATACCAACGGATTTACCATTCGATTTTAAACGGTTACAATTTCCACTACGTCTGGCCTTTGCGATGACCATAAATAAATCGCAAGGACAGTCGTTAGAAGTTTGCGGAATCAACTTGGAGTTTCCCTGTTTCGCGCATGGACAATTATACGTGTTCGCGTGTCGGAAAACCGTCTTCTTTGTTTATTTACGCACCACAAAACAAAACAAAAAATATAGTTTATGAGAAAGCTTTAAATTGATTAACAAACTGTATCATAGCAGTGTGTGTCTGTCAATATCAAATTTAAACCTTATAAATAGCCAGTATCTCAGGAAAACTCTATTTTGTAATTAAGGAACATGATGTGTCGAAAATAATAATAAAACTTCATGCTTCATTCACAATATGCTTTTTTATTAAATACGGATTCGTTTTGTTTGTTTTAAAATTATTTTATACAAAAGTGTAGGTCTTTTATTTATCGATTGAGGCAGTACGAAGTCTGCCGGGTCGGCTAGTTTTTAATAAATTTGGGAAATTAAATTATATTTTGCAGTTACAGAAAAAATGTTGTTTGCATTTCGTTTGCGAAATCTAGTTTTTTAATCCCAGGAGAATAGGGGAAAGTGGGGCATAACCGCGTAGTTAGTGTTTGACGGTCTGCCAACATGAAACTGTTGCTTAAAAATTGAAAAATGTTTTTAAGGTATATGCAGATTTAATTCTAGTTTAATAAATAATATTAAATTTCTCAGAAAGTAATCACACATTATTTTGCACCAGTTTTTTAGGAAACGTTGCACCCCCCCGGTCTTGCCGCAGTGATGAGGTATAACCGGGTACTTATTTCATAGAGTAATTAATGAAACAAATAAGATAAAAAACAAATATCTTTAATTTCAGACAAAATATATTGCTACATTTTAGTGCACTGAATAGTTTAAAAGGCTCTCTAAGAGCAAATATCGCACACAAAATCGTCATCCTCTTCAGTAACATTGCAACAAGCTTCATGAGCCCAGTTGCGACACTTCGTGCACTGTATCCATCCCTCCTTTTCTTGTGAGTTTGAATACATATCATTGCAATATATGTATTCTGCATCACTTTCAGAATCTTCTTGGGAGGAAGAAGATTCTTTATGATCGCGACTAGATCGTTTAACGGCTATGATCGTCTTATGCTTTTTTTCCCCATTTGTACTTTTTTAGGAAGAATAGGGTTGCTAAAAAGTTTTCTTTTTTCTTTGGATCCAATTTTTTTCCTGCGTGCTTCTTGTTGAGCAATAGCGTTTTCCAAGTCTACTTTATAAGGCGTAGAAGTGAGAACAACTGTTTTACGTTTTTCGTTCATTCCTTTCTGAATGAGGGGGTGGCTTGAGAGTTGCAGGTGAAACGTTGAATGACGAATTTAATGAACTAATTTTAGAAGTTGAAGGTGTAATATTCTTAGAAGTGGAAGCCTCAGGCGGAGGAGTTGTACATAGTAACCTAGCAATAGGGACTTCTTAAAGAAAGTTTTTTATGTCTCTGTAATAATCCATAAAGCCAGTCTTTTCCAGCGAGTTTTGTTTCATTATTGAATGGATGTTGAATGTTGTTTTGAAGAGCTAATTCATAATCTAAACTTTGAAGTTCCTTGAAAGTTAAGCCAAAGAATATGCTTTCTAACAGCAAAATATATTCCACCAACTCATTTTCTTGCTCATCTGAAAATACTGTTTTATATCGGCCCATTCCTTTTTTGCTAGGTTCTTCCAAACTTGCTCCTTGCCGAGCTTTCTTTACTCGATCTTCTAGAGTACTTTGTGGTACATTATAAGATTTCGAATCTTTTAAGTAACCCATTGTGCCAGACAATACTGCATTTATTGCCCCTAACGTGCTAGCCTGCGCCCATGACTGTCTTTGCGTTTTCCGTTGATAATTTTTTGGCATGTTTTGGTTCTGAAATACAAGATAAAAATAGATATGTATAACCGAAAAACAAATTGCTGCATAAAAACGATATTATTTACTAGGTTTTACCTATATTAAAAAATGAATGATTGGATAACATCGGATACCCGGTTCTATCCGCTGATAAGTACCCGGTTTTACCTCTTCGTCACGTGTGAAATGAAACATGATATCACTCATCATACACAAATGTTAGAGATTATATTAAGAGTTTAAATAAAACATCAATACTATGAAACAACGTAATTCCCTTACCAGAAATTAGAGCTCCCTTAAATGCACGTCACAAGAGTATTAAAATCACATGAAACATCAAGAGTTTTGCACTGAAAACTTTCAACGATCGCTAGTGTCAAACAAGCATGGATGCATGCCTATTGACTAGTCCTAACTACATTATCGCTTGTGAAGAAAACGTATTGGATACCCAGCGCTAGGTGGCATGAGTTGTAGGGACTGTATAAACGGTACCTGGTTTGATCCGACTACCCGGTTTTGCACGACTTACCCCTATGCGTTTTGGGCCCGAAACCGATGGTGATTTAGCGCACTTAGTACACAAAAAAGTATTTGTTTGTTCGTGCGTTATTTGATGATGTTTGAATAGCAGATGCAGTTCTAAAGATAACTTTTCTGAGTTGATAAATGGTATTATTTTCAGGTGATTCTCGCTCTGAGAATACATTTCATTTTTTGGTACCTATTAACGTTTAGTAAAATGGTGATTGATGCACATACTTTTCCCTTATTAGATGATCCTTAACGGACACACGCAGTTGTTGGCGAATCTTCCTTCAAACAACCAGAAACAAGTTTTTCAAAAATTTATCACTGTCAAAAGTGAGTGGTTTTGTGCCTCATTTCAAAAAATAACATGCCTGGAGGAAAAAGATTAGCTCTACAATGATTTCGTTAAAGAAATGTTTTCTCACACGCGAAGGGAATTGCATGCAACGATACCCCCTATCTCGAGGAGGCGGAAACGAAAACTTGTCCATGAAGCTCCTTTGGCTTTAACCATCAAATGTGTATTAGAGAATATCATCGGTGATGCGGGATTATTGTCAGTGTTGGTAGCTGGCACCAAACCTAGTGTCGACAGGAATTATTAATGATATGTGTGTGCAATGGTTATAGGATATATTTGTCTGCTGTTAGCAAATCTTTTTGAAACACACCAAAATCTAATCCAGATTATGTAGTCGGAGTTGTCACGAGCTCTCAATGGATTAAACAAACGCATCGTCTCATTAATGAAGGTATGAGGAAGGGAGAAGCACATTAAACATATTGCACTCTGCGTTGATAATTTTGTTATCCTAATATTGTTTGTTCACTCGTAATCGAAGGCACGAAAAAAACCCGGTGCGAAAAAGGACAGGATTCCTATGGTTTCTGCCGAGATAACTATAGGCGCCGTCAGTCGTGTTACCGTTGCCGTGCGACTCACTTTTTCGGTATACCGGCATCGATTCTACGACAACTGGTCGCAAACAACTGATCGCGCGACAATTGATCGCAAACAACTCGTCGCAGCACAATTGGTCACACGCGACAATTGATCCCACGTAAATTGATCGCAGCGACAACTGATCGCATGTAAATTTACCGCAGCGTCAATT